GCCAAGAAGTCTATAACTATTTACTGAGATTTTCAATACCAAGAATTTGTCCTTCTGCTCTGTCCCTTAGAGATTAAGAGGAACAAAGAATACATTCCTCTTGACAGACCTCCTATTCAGTGTTTTGTGTATAAAAAGCATTGCGCAGTTAATAAACTTGCTACAGTCGGTCAATGGCTACCTGTCCTCCTGACCCCGCTTTCCTGTCTTTCTTTTCTCAATTCTCACCTCCTTACCTCAGCCCAGTTCAACCATCAGATTGGTCCTGGCAATTTATTGATTCCTGTTTGGGAGATTGCTGTAGACTTGCTGCTTCAACGGGCTTTCAAATTGGGTTTGAGTCTTAGAGAACAAACGGAACCCTGAAATCTTTCCTGGCATCGCACCCCATCCCCCCTCAAAGTGACAAGTATAATAAGCCAGGGCTAAGGAAGGCTCCAAACCGTGGGAACAGCTGCTGTGCGCTGTTGCAGAAGCTCAAAGGGGAACATGCTTGAGGGGAGAAAAATTGGCTGTTACTTAGTTCTGAAATGCACACGAAGTTTAATAAACAACGGGGTATATTAGTCCGAATGTGTGTACACCTATGGCAACCACTTGCTGATTACTTGCTCCGGAGCGCACTGGGTTCTGCTTTCGTCGCTTTGTCCAGTGAGAACACAGAGATCTGGAATATTGAAGGCACTGCCTCAGATGATGTGTCATCTGTCAGCTGAGAAACTGCTGTTTACCTAGGCCTGGCTAGGTGTCCGGAATATTGCTTAGATTATTGTAAACTGCGTACATATCCTGAATAAGGGAGCCTTTGACTTTTGGGGGGTGGGATTTTCTACTGGGAGGACCAAGATTGGAATGGTACTATGGTCAGTGTGCCTGTGCCTCCCTCCCTCAGACTTAGTGCAGGGACACTCGGTAGCAGGGCTGACCCAGGATCCAATGAGAGACCAGGTGGCTTGGAAATCAGAAACCAGGTGCAGGAACCGTCCACCTGGAGCCGGTGTGATCTTGGATTTAACACAGTCCTGTGACCTTTGTGCTTAGACTTCCCTCAAGCAGTCTTCCCTGTGCCCAGTGCTCAAATTCTTGATACATCTTTTAGAGAGTGGAGGGATTCATAACACCAGTCTTGAGAAAAATACCACTTACCAGCAATTAGCTAAGCTACTTATATGGAGGACACCCAATTAGGCATCAGTGGCTGTCTGCACAGCCTGTGAGGGTTACAGCCCTACTAATCCACTTGCTGTGTCCCTGCTTCTGATCCATTTCTAGACAGTTTCCGGAAGTATCAGATACCTCCCCATGGGCCATGTCATATATAGCAAGCTTTTACAGGAAGCCATTTCTCTCTCTCTCTCTCTCTCTCTCTCTCTCTCTCTCTCTCTCTCTCTCTCTCTTTCTGTCAGGCTGTCAGGACTTCCCACTAATCACTGACCCAATGGTGGACTTCAGTGAGGGATGATAAAAATCTGCTGGTTTGCATCTATTCTTCCCAATTCCCCGTTTCTTAAAGCTGACATTGTTTTTCTTATGTGAAACCCCGAGAGTGACTTTTAAAACTCACTTTCCTTGTAGCACATCTGTGGATCTCTGGGGAAGGACTGACTCTCCATAGACTCCGAACAGGATTTAAAAGTTTCATTTAATGCATTTGCTAGGATCAGGGAAAACGACAGCCAAAAGCAGAGAGAGAGAGAGAGAAAGAGAGAGAGAGAGAGAAAGAGAGAGAGAGAGAGAGAGAGAGAGAGAGAGAGAGAGAGAGAGAGAGAGAGAGAGACAAGGAGTGGTGTGGGGCCTCAGAAAGTGGCTGCTGTGTGGCCGCAGGGAATAGGGAGTGTAAAAAGCTTCTTGTACACATTGCCTCATCTATAAAAACCAGAGCCACTTGGCATCTCTCTAAGTAATAAATGGACCTAGAAGCTGCAGGGAAGAGTTATTGGCAGGAAATGGTCCCCAGAGCTGTGATATTTTCAGACCCTGTGCATTTCCCTATAATGCATAGACCATGGATCACAAAGCCCACGTGTCTTTGCTACCTCAGGACTAAATGTTGCAGGTTCTGGTTTGTCAGACAGCCACACTTTCTCGGAGTAGGAGAATTAATATGCTTTGTTGAAGTAAAAAGAAATGGAATTTTGCTTTTCGAGGCGCAGCGGAGAGGAAAGCGGTGTGAAGAAGTATTTAGAGGAACAAGGATGGAGGAGATGGTAGTGTCAGAAGCAGAGATAGTAGCAGTAGAGAAGAGAGTATAAGGAACTTGGGCAGGTTCTCTCTCTCTCCCTCAACTTTTAAGACTGGTTTTAATTAGAAATCTCTGTTTTCTAGAAACAAGGAACACCTGACTTGTAGGTGTGAAACCTTCCTTGTGTCTTAAACTTACTATACACATGTACTTCCCACACAGCAGAGCTCCACGCAAGATTCCTAGCTGATAGGTTTTTATCCCAAAATGGGTTTCCACACAACACTGAGCTCACTGGTGGGCTAATCAACATGTGGGGGAAAAGGACCCTCAGCAGATATTGCAGCCACAGAAACACTCTGAATTTCATTTAAATGCCAGGTTAGTTTCAGAGTGCACTAGTTGTTCAGCTGTGTTTCTCCTTTTGAAACATGGAAGCAGCAGGCTAACTGGGTGCCACAGAGACTATCCACAAAACACAGAGGCTCCATATCCTGTCCTAACCATCTGCAAAAGCAGACTGCCCTCCACGACTCGCCATTGACTCCATGTTGACCCTGCTCCTCTCCCCAGATTCAAAACAAACAAACAAACAAGCAAACACAAAAAGCAAGCCAGCCCTCACCTGCTGAATGAAGACAATAGACACACCACCAAGCCTGACACTATTTAGCATTCAAAAAATTATTCTAGGTCATAGTTCCTGGCAAGATTTACTCTGAGAATGAAGTAGACACTTAATAGCGGGCAGGATGTTAAAGGACATTCAAACCTCTTGATCCCAAGCCTCTGAGTCACTGAGGCTGTTTACACCAGTTGTGCTTCTTCCCAAGTGAAAGGGGCACTGGGCTGTTGTTAAGGTTTTTAGTCTTGTGTCTGCTACTGTGAAGTCTTCAATTGCTATCATATAGCAGAGGACCCTAACTCGGGCATAAAAATAAACTGCTCAAAACCTCTTGCCAAGTTCAAGCTTGAAGATATTGTATCCTTTTTTTTATTGGGGGGGGGGGTGCGGAGGGGTTGGGGAGAAGAGTCACACTCACAGTTTTCTCTATTTTCCCAAACTGTTCAGTTTCTGAGCCCTGACTATGCCCAAGACCATCTGTAGCTCCCCTCTGGCCCCACTTTCTCAGCGTGGGCTGTGATCCGCATCTCTGACATTCAGAATCTGGCTAATCCCCCTTGGACTGTCCTGCCGGGGCCTGGGCTTAATTACTATAAACTCACAAGCAGGGGGGTGGGAGGAGGGTGGTCTCTTTTTAAATCTCATCCTTCCTCTAGAAAATGGTTAATTTGGCAAAGACAATGCATCCCATTTTTGTAACAATGGCTTACTCCAGGGAGAATTAACATTAACATCACTATGTACTGTTTAGCAGCTACTTTTCCTCACATTTCAATAATTTATTAATTTTTTTTTTAGCAGCATCCTGATGCCTTCTTGATGATTTTGGTTGCTCAGGGGAAAGACGCCATCCCTGAAGGCTGGCCAAGCCCTCTCCTGCTTTCATTAGCAGAGTAACCCTGTGTCCCCGCAGCCTGAGCCTGCAGGGAAGTGTAATGTTCCCACTGGGCCCTCCTGTCCTCTCGCCTGGCTGAAGAGCTGAGCCTAAATGAAATATGAAATATTAACTGTCCGAGGAGACAACGGATGCTGCCTCCGGTGCCTGAGTTTTTGGCCACTTCTCACTGGCCTCAGGCCTCTCTGTCTCACCGCCACCTCATCCCTCGGTGGGAACCACAAGTAGGAGAATCACAGCTCTCCGAAGCGAATTCCCTGGACCGGCAACCAGACTCCTTGCTTGTTCCCTTCTGCAGGGAGCGCACAATGACGACCAAGAGGCCAGAAAAAAACAACACTTAAATATTGTATTTATTAAGGAAATGTTAAACACGGGAGGAGTGGGGGGGGGGGGAGTCAAAACGGTGTCACGAATGTCAAGAGCACTTTTGTGGCATAAATCGTGCAGTCACGAGCTACATACAGAGTTCTACTTCGGGTCTTTGCTGGGGGGCCAGCTGGAGCCCACTCCAAAGACCCAGTTGTGGATGAAATAAAAGAAACAACTTACCCCGTTCACATTCGCAAGCTCCCCCTCCCCCACCCTTTCCCCAGGACGACAAAACTCTTAACTCCAGGACAGGCAAACAGGTCACTGGGGCAGAAAAAAAAACGAAGTTATAAAATATTTACATTCAAGCAACCCCCCCCCCACACACACACACACAAACAAAAACTTAAAACGGCACGTTGCAATCAAGCAAAAGTATGTATCGCCTCTCCCGTCGTCTGGGCTGGGAGGAAAGGCAGAGAATCCGGACACGGATTTGTGTCCCCATGAATTTTGTTCCTGGAGCCTTGCACGGGTCCCTTCGCAGGCCATGGGGCGGGCGGTGGGTGCTGCCGAGTCTCTCCCCTGCCCGCCCTCTCCACCTGCCCCCGGAGCCTGGCCCACCTGCGGGCGGAGAAGAGCCTTTTTGCCCCGTCGGTTTCCCCCGCATCCCGAGCTCGCGGCAGCTCCCCGCCAAGGGTGCGCCCTCCTCTCCTTCTCTTCTCGCCACTTGCTGCTCAGTCTCTAGAGCCGGGGCGCTCTCCTCCGACAGCCAGGAGCGGGGACTTCTCCCAAGAGCGAGCGAGGAAACAGGTCGCTTCATCCCCGAAAGGCAGAAGTCAAGTCCAGAGAAAGAATGGACTCCGACAGGTTTGCTTCGCCCCAGGCTCGGGACGGTCGGTCAGGGGGCGCGGCCGGGCCGGCGAGGAGGGGAGGCGCGGGGAGGCGCGGGGAGGCGCGGGGCGGGCGGGCGGGCGGGCGGCCGGTCAGTACGGCCCCACGACCACCGCCTCCACCTCCTTGGACGGCCTCCGCTCCTTCACCAGGAAGTTGATCATGCCCTCGGACTTGATGAGGAGGTTGCAGCCGAGGAAGAAGATGCCGAAGACCACGGTGAGCGAGAGCACGCACATGACGGCGATCTGCACCACGCGCATGATGTACAGGCTGCGCTCGTCGGGGCCGCCCTCGGCGAAGCCGTCGTCGGTCACCACGGACGCCTGGGTGCAGCAGCGCACGGCGCGCTCCAGCGCCTCCGAGCTGTTGGCCAGGAGCAGGCCGGCCACGTCCGTCTGGTTGTCCATGCCCAGCGCGGGGTTCATCGCCGGGGCGGGCGGGCGAGCGGGCGCCCGGGGAGGCGCGGGTCGGTCCGAGGGGTGGGGAAGGCGGAGGCGCGGGAGGAACAGGTGCCGAGCCGGAGCACTCACTTGCACACTTGCGCGTCCGTTCTCTCTCTCCTCCTGCCCAAGTGCCCCCGGCCGGCCGGTGAGAGTTTCCCAGGAGCCTTTCTGACTCGCGCTGCAGCCTGGCTGGTCTGCGCCCGCGTCTGCTGCTGCTGCTGCTGCTCCCGGGCGGTGCTCGCTCCCGGCGCTCGCCCGGCTGGGGGCTGCGGGGACTTGGCGGGGCCGGGCCGGGAGGGAGTGGGAGGTGCGGGCGCGGCCGCGGCTGGGCGCTGCTCCGGGTAAACAGCGGCCCCTGCCGGCCGCGCGGCGGCTCTGCGTCCGCTGTGGCTGGGAGGTGGTGAGGCGAAGGTGCTAACTAACCTCCCCTGGGTCCTGCCTGTCTTGCTTAGCCTCTGTTCCAGGTCCAAAGGCTAGGCAGAGGTCCTTGTACTCTTCTGGCTGGATGGATGAGTCTAGAGTCTCGGGTTGAGGGACGGTTGGGATCGGCTGAAAGTTTCCCAAGAACTGGGTCACATCAGCGCTGCGTTCTTCCCTCCCGCCCCTCTTACCTCTGAGCGATGCAAAGTGGCCAGGATCCCAGGTGCCAGATGGTGGTTGCCAATGCCTGTGTCTGACAGTCTCCCCTGAGAGCCTGGGAGGATTTCTAGTGCAGCAGGGTTGTCCTGGGTGTAGTTTTTTAAAAAAGCATTGATTTCAGAAGAAAGAAAAGCAGGGAGAGAGGGCAGGAGGGAAAGAAGAAAGAAAAGGTGGAAGGGGGAAAAAAGAGAGGGAGAAAGGAAGCTGTTGGAAAACAGAGTAACGCGTGTTTTATACTGATTTTTAGGGCAGAGGAAAGGGTTTATGGGAAGGAGGTGTTGTTCTTTGGAGGCGTTTGTGTGGAGGTATTTGCCAGGCATAGCAGGGTCAGGGCTCTGGGAAGGGAGGGGAAGGTGGGCCGAGCGGCCAGCCACTCTTGTAATCGTAATTGCAGATGGATTTCAGGATGTGTTCTAATTTTTTCTCTGTTGGCAGTTGTTTAAGGGAATTGCTCATCATACCCAACACCTAGAATACTGGCCCACTGCTGGAAACCCTCCCCATTTTCTATAACCTGATGTATTTCACCTTAATCATTTAAAACAAAACTACAGATGCTTTAGGGGCCAACTTATAATTTTGCTGTCAGTTTCAGTGAAATGTTATACATCTGTCATATTATTTCTTAAACTCTAGATTTAAAAAAAAAATCTTTTTTTTTCTACCTTCCTTCCTTTTTCTCTCCCTTCCTCTCCCCTACCCCACTTAAACTGTTTTCTTTTGCTGGAAACCTTGAAGTATAGCCCAAACTTCTGATAGAATATATCTACTAACTTTCTATTATAACATAGTAGTGTTACGGTCACCAAAGGAGGAATGCACGAGGTCAAATGTGGTAAAGAATTATGAATTTATTAGATCATCTGGAAACCAGATGGGCTGTGCCCCAAAATGGTACCAGCGCCATGGACAGGAGTCAGGGGTGTTAAAGGACTCTTGGTGGGCTTTTTCTGAGGGGAATTCTCCGGGCCCATCTGGTCTGGATCCTGGGCAAGTCTGGAGGGGAAAGTTACTCATCTAGGCAAATAGAATGTGGTCTAAGGGAAAGGTAATGTCGGTCGTGATGTGTCTAAAGATCAGTTTCCCAGGGGAGGGGGGATATCGATTGGATTGTTTGATTAGACCTAACAAGTAGCTGTTACATTTTCAACTCTATTCTCAATTCCATTCTATATGCTTGTTAAACCCTCTAATTTTTGTTTCCACAAACATCATTTATTCCATTCAGAGGTTTCCTTAAGTTTCCTAAAATATTTTGTGGCCATGATAAAACTCTTCAGTTAAGATTTTTCAATTTTTGAGCGTATATTAGCTTCAATAAGTTTAGTTCCTTCTAGATAGCATTTTTCCCCCCTTTTGGGAGAATGTTTAGTATCTCCAGGCCTAGGCTGCTGGGCCTTGTCTGCAATTCACCTGGTTTATTGCTCTAGTTTCCCATGTATATATTAGCCTTAAAGAAGGCTCCACTCCCAATAATTCCTTTTTTTCTAATTATTAATTGATTAGGGAAAAAAAGTTGCTTAAAATTCACTATATAATCAGTCTATCTTAGTTAACATGGGTGACACTTAAGAACAATAAAACAGTCCTAGCTGGTTTGACTCAGTGGACAGAGCATCGGCCTGTGGACTGAAGGGTCACGGGTTTGGTTCTGGTCAAGAGCATGTACCTTGGTATAGACTCCATCCCCAGCCCTGGTTGGGGGCTTTTGCAGGAGGCCACCAATCCATTCTCTCTCTCACACTGATGTTTCTCTCTCTCGGTCTCTCCTTCTCCCTTCCACTCTCTCTAAGTCAATGGAAAAAATATCCTTTGGTGAGGATCAACACATAACAAAACAAAACAAAACAATAAAACCTATGTATAAAAATTACAGATGACTTTCAGACAATATTGAGGCAATATTAAAAAGAGTGGCAGAGGCAAGTAGTAGGAATTTTAAAAAGCAAATGGTGGAGAATAGCGATCCACTCCCAGGAATCATAATTTGCACAGGACTTTGTGTTTAGTAGAGGTTGGGTTTTGATAAAAAGAGAGAGAATAGCCCCTCCTTTATGAGACAAAAACAAAGAGCGTTATAGTACATCTGTAAGGTCCATCATAATATAAACAATTCCCCAAAATTTTAATTTCCTCATTATCAGAATTTGAGTGTATTTGTTGATATTGACAGTTTTGGCAAGCAGTCAGTGTTAAAATGATTAAATCTTGGAGTCCAGTGAACATTTTATAATATCAAACCTCTAGATTTGGGAAACATAATCTTAAAGGAAGTAAAGTAACAATGCGACTATGTTCATTTCTTTCAGCTCTCTCAGGAAATTGTCAATGTGCTATTCCTTTTAACTAATTCCAATCTTTGGGAATGTGGTTTTGTTTCCTTTATCTTATCCCAACCCTCCCTCCCCCATTTTGTTGAATAAGGTTGCTTGGAACATTTAGATGGAAATTCAACCTAGTATTACAAAATTACATTACCTCTCACTCATTACAACACCTAAGGGAATCTGGGCTGCTACAGCTTCTCTAAAGAAACTTTTATTTATTTTTCCTTTTTTGAGTGAACATTTTCCTCTCACCTTTACAACTGTTATATTCACTTCCTAAGGAAAGTGCTAGAGATGTGGAAAAGAATCCTTTAAGAAATGTCAATTTCTAGAATAATAGCCGGTGATGTGGAAGGGGTGACATAATGATAATTTACTTTAAATGAAAGGCTTTTGACACATTGTTATATTTAACTAGTGACCTCTCCTATTTCATTGGAAAGAAGGCTTGGCTTTCAGCATTTCACAATAAACATGTTACATAAGAAAGAAACACTTATCTGTTCTTTCTAGAAAATGTCTATGACATATAATAAATACATTGTGCCAAGATATTCCAGGCTGGTATTGGTGGGCATTATAAACAGTACTCACTGGGTCTGTAGTTTAAATAGTCTAGATATACCCAGATGCTTTCAATGTTAAAACCTTTTTTCTTGGTTCTTTCTTTGCATGTATTTTGAAAATATTCAATAGACATTTAAGAAAAGAGAATATCAGACATAGAAAGGATATTTATTACTTTGAGGCAAGCTTTTTTTAAAAAAAAATAATAATAAGCCACATTAAATTACACAATGTAAGTATGAGTAAGACTAAGCACTCCTATTCATTCGTAAAAGTATACTCGGGTCCTGCCGGTGTGCAGTCATAGTTTGATTCCCGGTCAGCTGATCAGTGATTCTCTCTCATCATTGGTGTTTCTCTCTCTCCCTCTCCCTTCGTCTCTGAAATCAATAACTATATATAATATATAATATATATTTTTTTTAAGTAGTTTCAGCATCTGGAACACACACACACACACACACACACACACACACACAGCCAGAAAAAAGGCAAAATAGTTTATTGAACTACCAAAAGAGATACCATGCACTTTAAATATGTAAATTCTTACATTTTTACTCTTAGATAGACCACTCAAATCTCTCTCAAACCAGTGTACTTTTACTTTAACTTTCTTCTTTATCCGTTTTTCGTGGTGACAGGATATCAGTAGCATCATGTGGGTTGGAGAGAAGAAAATGACAGGAGGTGGGTGCTTTATTACCACAAGGAGCACCTCCAGAAGGGAAGGCAAATTAAATGACACACACAGATTTTCTAAAAATGTGCTATATTAGTTTGGAGACAGTTAATAAAAAGACAAATAGTTTTAGATGATTAAGAGTCTAACAACACTTGTAAGTCATGGACTTTGAATCCTACTGTCTTCACTTAATAGCTACACATGATCTTGGAAAAGTTCCATCACCTTCATGTATTTCATTTACCTATCTGTGAAATGGGAATGATGTTCCACATAACTTAAAGTAGTGTCTAGTAGCACATAGCAAGATCTCAAGCAAAAGTATCTTTCTGCAGCTCCTAAGGAGGCATCAATATGTACAAATTACTAAAATAAATAAAGGTTATATTTTGTTTAATGTTTCCATTGACTTTGTTAGGTAAAGAATTCTAAGTGTTTGTGTTCAAATCAGAATCCAGGTAGGAATGTAAAAAGGTGCACCCTCTGTGGAAAATAGTACGACTGTTGCTCAAAAAATTAAATATAGAATTACTACACTATCCAACAGTTCTATTCAATGAATATACCCTCAAAATTGGAAAGCAGGCACTTGAACAGGTTTATAGCAGTATTGTTAACAGTATTGTTAACAAAAGGTGGAAACAACCCAAATGCCCATCAGTGGATAAAGGAATAAACAAATTGTGGTGTATACATGCACACAGCATTAAAAGCAGTGGAATTCTGACATACTCAACAAGGATTGG